AAAGACTGGAAGCTGATTTCTCAACAGGCCAGAGGGGATTGGCATGAAATATTCAAAGTAATGAAAAACAAGGGCCCTAACCAGTTTGGCTCAGTGGATAGAGCGTCGGCCTGCGGACTCAAGGGTCCCAGGTTTGATTCCGGTCAAGGGCATGTACCTTGGTTGCAGGCACATCCCCAGTAGGGGGTGTGCAGGAGGCAGTTGATCGATGTTTCTCTCTCATCGATGTTTCTAACTCTCTATCCCTCTCCCCTCCTCTCTGTAAAAAATCAATAAAATATATTTAAAAAAAGAAAAGAAAAATAAGGACCTACAACCAAGGCGACTTCACCCAGCAGGGCTGTCATTTATAATTGAAGGAGAAATAAAGAGCTTCCCAGACAAGAAAAGCTAAAAGCGTTCATCACCACCAAACCAGTATTACAAGGAATGTTAAAGGGTCAAAAAAAAGAAGGAGGAGAAAGAGGAACATGGGTATCCTATATAATAAAAGCCCAGTATGCTAAGTGTCTGGTTGACTGGTCAGCCGTTCAACCAATCAAAGCGTAATATGCTAATGATATGATAAGGCCACTCAACCACTCGCTATGACATGCACTGACCACCAGGGGGCAGACACTCCAACCAATAGATTAGCTTGCTGCTGGGGTCTGGCCAATTGGGACTGGGCAAGATGGGCCAGACTCACCCCAGAGCCCTCCCACAGTCACTCCCCGGCTGGCCAACCTCTTTGGGGTCCCTCTGCCTGGCCTGCACCCTCTCACAATCCAGGACCCCTCGGGGGATGTCAGAGAGCCAATTTCAGCCCGATCCTGCAGGCCAGGCCGAGGGACCCCACTGATGCACTAATTTGTGCACCGGACCTCTAGTAAAGAAGAAAATGGCAAGAAATACATACGTATCAATAATCACTTTAAATGTAAATGACTTAAATGCTCCAATCAGAAGATATGGGGTAGCTTAACGGATAAGAAAACAAGACCCATATATATGCTGTGTACAAGAGACCCATCTCCAAGAGACCCCTTTAAAAGTAAAGGAATAGAAAAAGATATTTCGTGCAAATGAAAGTGAAAAAAATCTGGGGTAACAATACTTATAGCTGACAAAATAGACTTAAAAACAAAGGTTATATTAAGAGACAAAGAAAAACACTACATACTGGTAAAGGGATCATTATCCAACAACAGGATATAACCCTTTTAAACACCCAACATAGGAGCACCTAATTATATAAAGCAAATCTTGATGAACATAAAGAAAGAGAAGGACAGTAATACAGTCATAGTACAGGATTTTAACATCCCATTAACATCAATGTTTTCCAGACAGAAAATCTAAAAGGAAACAGTGGCCTTAAATGACACACTAGACCAGATGGATTTAATTGGTACCTTCAGAGCATTTCACCCCAACGCAGCAGAATATACATTCTTTTCAAGTGCACATGGAACATTTTCTAGTATAGACCACATGTTAGGACACAAAACAGGTGTCAGTAAATTTAAGAAGATTGAAATCATAGCAAGCATCTTCTCTGACTATAATGGTATGAAACTAGAAATCAATCACAAGAAAAAAGCTGAAAAACACACAAAGATATGGAGGCTAAATAGCATGTTAGTAAACAATGAATGGGTTAACAATGAGATCAAGGGAGAAATCAAAAGATACCTTGAAACAAATGACAATGAGAACACAACAACCCCAAGCCTATGTGACACAGTGAAAGCAGTCCTAAGAGGGAAATTTATAGCATTATAGGCCTACCTCAAGAAATAAGAAAAGCTCAAATAAATTATCTAACCCCACAACTAAAAGAATTATCATGTGAACAACAAGAAAAGCTCATAGTAAGTGGAAGGAAGGAAATAAGATCGGAGTGGAAATAAATGGTATAGAGACTAAAAAAATATACAAAGATCCATGAAACCAAGAGCTGGTTCTTTGAAAAGATAAACAAAATTTATAGGCTCATGAAGAAAAAAGAGAGAGGACCCAAATAAATAAAATCAGAAATGAAAGAGGATAAGTAACAGCTGACACCACAGGAATACAAAGGATTGTAAGAAAATATTACAAACAGGTATATGACAACAAATTTAACAATCTAAATGAAATGGATAAATTTCTAGCAACATACAGTCTTCCAAAACTGAATCAGGAAAAAATAAAAAAAATCTGAATAGACCAATTACAACTAATGAAATGGAAACAGTAATCAAAAAGCTCCCAACAAACAAAAGTCCTGAACAGAATGGCTTCACAATTGAATTTTACTAAACATTCAAAGAAGAATTAACACCTATCCTCAAACTACCCCAAATATTTCAAGAGGAGGAAAGACTCACAAGCTCATTTTCTGAGTCCAGCATTTTCCTAATTTCAAAAAAAAAGGAGAAGGAGAAAGAGGAACACGGGTATCCTATATAAGGAAACTATAAAGAAAGAAAATTATAAGCTAATATTTGTGATGAACATAGATGCTAAAATCCTGAACAAAATATTAGCAAACCAGACCCAGCAATACATTAAGAAGATCATACATCATGATCAAATGGTATTTCTTCTGGGGATGCAAGGTTGGTACAATATGCACAAACCAATAAACGTGATACACCACATAAACAAAATGAAGGATAAAAATCACATAATCATATGAATAGATAGAGAAAAAGCATTGAACAACATCCAGCAACGATTTATGATAAAAACTCTCATTAAAGAGGGAATAGAGTGAATATAACTCAACATAATAAAGGCCATATATAATAAATCTATAGCCAACATCATACTCAATGGACTGAAACTAAAAGCATTTCCCTTAAGATCTGGAACAAGACAGGGATGTCTGCTTTCACCTCTGTTATTCAACATAGTACTGGAAATCCTAGCCACAGCAGTCAGACAATAAGAAGAATTAAAAGGCATCCAAATTGGAAAAGAAAATGTAAAACTGTCATTATTTACAAATGACATGATACTGTGTACTAGTATAGAGAACTCTAAAGATAACACCAAAAAAACTACTAGAACTGGGAAATGAATTCAGTAAAGTAGCAGGATACAAAATAAATGCCTAGAAATCTGTTGCATTTTTATACACCAATAATTAACAGAGAGGGGAACTAAGAAAACAATCCCATTTACAATTGCATCAAAAAAATACTTAGGAATAAATTTAACTAAGGATGTAAAAGACCTGTGCTCAGAAAATTATAAGAAGATACAAATAAGCTGAAATGTACACCATGTTCATAGATAGGAAAAATTAACATCATTAAAATGTCCATACTACCTAATGCAATCTACAGAGTCAGTGCAATTTTTATCAAGATACCAATGGTATATTTCATAGAACTAGAACAAATATTCCAATAATTTATATGGAATCACAAAAGACCTGAATAGCAATCTTGAGAAAGAAGAACAAAGTTTGAGAAAGCATGCTATCTGATATCAAACTATAGTATAAGGCCATAGTAATCAAATGAGCATGGTACTGGCATAAGAACAGACATATAGATCATAGGAAAAGAGTAGAGCCCAGAAGTAAACCTACATTTTTATAGTCAATTAATATTTGACAAAAGAAGAAAGAACATACAATGGGGTAAAGATAGTCTATTCAATAAATGGTGTTGGGAAAATTGAATAGATACATGCAAAAAAAATGAAACTAGGCCACCTTCTTACACCATACACAAGAATAAATGCAAAATGGAGTAAAGGCTTAAATGTAAGACTTGAAACCATAAAAGTCCTAGAAGAAAATATAGGCAGTAAAATGTTGGACATTTCTCATAGCAATATTTTTTCTGACATATCTCCTCACGCAAGGGAAACAAAAGATTAAGTAAACAAATGGGACTACTTCAAACTAAGAAGTTTTAGTGCAGCAAAAGGAACCCTCAACAAAATGAAAAGACAGCCTACTGAATGGGAGAACATATTCATCAATGATACATCTGAGAAGGAACTAATTTCCAAAATTTATAAAGAACTCGGACAACTCAACACTAATACAACAACCAGTCCAATTAAACAATGGCCAAAGGATCGGAATAGACACTTCTCCAAAAAAGACATACAGATGGCCAATAGACATATGAAAAGATGCTCAACGTCACTAATCATCAGAGAGATGCAAATTAAAACCACAATGAGATGTCACCTTCTGTCAGAAAGGCTATCACCAATAAATCAACAAACAAGTATTGTGGAAGATGTGGAGAAAAGGGAACCCTTGTTCACTGTTGGTGGGGATGCAGATTGGTGCAGCCACTATGGAAAGCAGTATGGAGTTTTCTCCAAAAAAAATTACAACTGGAACTGCCTTGTGACCCAGCAATTCCACTTCTGGGAATATATTCGAAGAAACCTGAAACACTAATTCGAAAGAATATGTGCCCCTATATTCAATGCATTGCTATTTACAATAGTCAAGATTTGGAAGCAGCCCAAGTGCCCATCAGTGGATGAGTGGATTAAAAAAAAAAAAGCTATGGTATATTTACACAAGGGGACACTACTTGGCCATAAAAAAGGAAGGAAATCTTACCTTTTGTGACAACATGGATGGACCTGGAGAGTATTACACTAAGTGAAATAAGTGAGTCAGAGAAAGATAAATACCATATGATCTCACTTATATGTGTAATCTAATGAACAAAGTAAATAAACTAAATAGAAACAGATTCATAGAGAACAGACTGACAGCTGTCAGACGGAGGGGGGTTGCAGGGCTGGGTGAAAAAGGTGGATTAAGCAAAAAAGAAACCCATAGACACAGAAAACAGTATGGTGATTACATAGAGAAAGGGGGGTTCAATGGTGATAGGAGACTTGACGTGGGTTGTTGAACACACAGTACAATATACAGATGATGTATTAGAGGATTGTATACCTGAAACTTATATAATTTTATTAAACAATGTCTCCCCAATAAATTTAATAAAAACTTTTAAAAATTTCTTTGGTTTTGTTTTCTTTTCCTCTAGGTATGCTATGAGACTAAAGACCCACTCAGGCCCCAATGCCACACCAGAGGATAAACAGCTGGCTGCGTTATGGTGAGTGCATCATACCGGCTTAAAACAGCCTGCCCAGCCTGTGTATGGTCATTGGTAAACCAGGTGCTGGAGCATAATGTTTTTCTAGTGCCTCTGACATACAAAATCAAATGCAAGTCCACAGGTGGCCAGGGAGAGCCCACCCATTGCTTTGCTTGCTGCTATGCAGCCAGGAGGTGCCTACTCAGGTATTGAAAATCAACAGGTCCATTAGGCAAGGATAGCTTTTCCTGTGTGTGTGTGTGTGTTTTAAAACCAGGTAGGTTTGTGTTTTAATGATTTGAATGTGAATTGTGCCAAATGTAATTTCTCTTGTGTTGAACATTTTAGTTGCAATCAAAATAATTCATCTATCTCTTTACACATGGGATTAGTCTGAGTGAATGAAGATGACGCATTCAAGTCCTCAACACATTAAAGTGAGGAGCGGCTCATTACACTTTGATAATAAAAGCTTTCCTTGTAAAATGTTAACCAACATTAATAGGTTTTTATTTCTATAACGATTACACTAATAATGAATATGTGATTATAATAGTAATTTCCCTGTGACATCTTCTCAGTACACCTCCTCCCACGCCCACAAATCACAAGACACCTCTCTATTTGTTCCTTCTGTGACAGGGATCCAAAATGTTTGCCCCCAAAGGTTTACTTGCCTGATCTGCGGTGGACAATTGAGCCTCAAAAATAAATAAATAAATAAATAAATAACAGCAACATACATGAAAAAAGAGGGCCTCACATAGTTTAGCATCATCACATCATTTGGAGTTTGATCTGCTAAGAAGAGACCATTATATTGTATTGGGTATGTTGGTAATCTCCCAGGTCAACACCACACCCGAGTTAGCCAGTAATTATGAGTGGAAAGCACCAAGCATATCTCAGAAATGCTTTCTGCACTCTTTTCAAACTTTAAATTTCATATTAGGGTTAATAAATGAATGATGATTAATAATTGGCATTATAGAAGGTTACTAATATGTAAATAATAAAATATATAAAATAAAATGTTAACTATTCTGAGCATAGAGTTTTTACTGTTTATAAAAACACGTATCTGTTCCTTTATTTGAACTAATTGCAATTGAGTAAAATAGTTTAAAGGTAAAGGAATAAAAGCAGGTGGATGGTTATTCTTTCAGCAACACTGCTGGTGCGGGAAGTCCAGGGTGTCAGAGGGAGATCAGAGTGAGGTCACTCTGCCCCAAAACTCCCCTTAAGCAGTGAAAGCTATGAGCTACAGCTTCCTCACTCCTCCGTGGAGAGACACTGTCCTCTAGTGGTGGCAGAAGAAATGGCCAGCCCCGTACCCCAACAAAGCAATAAAGCTATTATTAAATGATCTGATGCAGTGGTTCCCAACCTTCTGGCCCTTTAAATACAGTTCCTCATGTTGTGACCCCCAACCATAAAATTATTTTTGTTTCTACTTCATAACTGTAATTTTGCTACCGTTATGAATCGTAATGTAAATATCTGATATGCAGGATGGTCTTAGGCTACCCCTGTGAAAGGGTCGTTCGACCCCCAAAGGGGTCACGACCCACAGGTTGAGAACCGCTGATCTGATGGCAAATGCATTTATGGAGTAACCCCTTGAAATTGTGAGGTATACCTTCTGAACAAAAGGAAGATCAGACACTTACAGACATGTATGTATGTATATTGTATATATAATCAGGATATAAATATTGAGTACTTGGAACAAGAAGATTTTTTGAGCCCTCACCGGTTTGGCTCAGTGGATAGAACGTTGGCCTGCAGACCAAAGTGTCCTGGGTTCGATTCCAGTCAAGGACACATACCTTGGTTCCAGGCTCCTCCCCTGCCCAGGCCCTGGTCAGGGCTCAGGCAGGAGGCGACCAATCGATGTGTTTCTCTCACATCGATGTTTCTCTGTCTTTCCCTCTCTCTTCCACTCTCCCTAAAAATCAGTGGAAAAATATCCTCGGGTGCAGATTAACAACAAAAAAAGATTTTTGAAAAGTCTTGTTTGCACAGGACACACTCGTGCCTGCAGGGCTCATCTCTCTTCTTCCCTGCAGTTACCGATGCCTGGCTCTCCTGTACTGGCGGATGTTTCGACTCAAAAGAGATCACGCTGTCAAGTATTCAAAAGCACTTATCGACTATTTCAAGGTACTGTCTGGCTATCGGGGGACATGGTTCCCCGTATTTAGTTGTCTCCCTACCAGGGACGTTTTGAGGACAGGATCCATTGCTTTGAGGAGAATTCAGGAGCCTTCTGACCCATTTGTGACATGTCCGTGGTGCGCAGGGCTGAGCATGGCCTTGAGAGCCCCCTGCCTGGAGCCCGGGCGTTCCGATGGCCCCCAGGGAAAGGAGATTGAGTTCCCACTTCCGTGTCGTAGGAAATGCATCTTGGTATTTCACGTAGATTCCTCATGTGCACCTCGAGCTGCTTCCTTTTGGAAGTAACTACTTAGAACATCTTAGCTAATTCCAGTAGCTACTTTAATTATTGATGACGGTGTTATTTAAAATGGTAAGAAATGGCTTGTTGGAACTCAGAGGCACTAGCAATATGTAGACACAAAGATAGAACTTTTATCTATCTCAGCAAATGAAGTCATTTTCACTGGGAAAATAAAACAAAAACACTTTTGTGATGTAGACTTGAAGTAATAATTAATTTGAGATTTGGGGCCTCTTTACTGTCTGTCTATAGGAACAAGAAATTACACCACCTCTACCTCCACCAACCCATGCACCACCGTTTAGACCCTTTATCCCCAGCCCCGCTTAGAGATTATCTCTGGTGACCAGGCTGAGTGGGGCCCGCGGGCTGTATGCAGCGCGCCACCCCCTTCCTGGTCGTGCCTGAGGGGTAACCAGGTGCTAAGCCAAGAAGGGAACAGTCTTGGCTAACGTTAAGCCTTTCCCTTTATTTTGGGCACCTAAGGTCAAGATAAGTCATTTTAAAAATGTTAGAATCTAAGAACTAATACTAACGAGAGTTATTACAGTCAAGAAAAATGCTTCACTGAGAAGGAGTCTGAACTCTGTAGGCCACAGTGGTTACCACAGAACTTGAAGGAATACAAGAAGTTTTTAATGTCCGTATACAGTCCTGAGTGTATGCGCATGCAGAGAGGACACACTTAAAAGCAGAGTTTCCCCTCCAGGAGTTCCCGGTAGGCACCCTTAATCAAAGGCTTTTTAAATGCTCCTTAAAGTTCCACGATCATGGACCTTCAGGTAACACTGACAAATTGTCCGTAATGACTGCTTTATCGGTACAGAGCTGTCTGAACAGAGGACTTTGTTCCCTCGTGTTTTAACAGTCACGGGGCCTGGTGGTCATGGAAGAGGCCTGAAGGCAACTGACAGTTGCCACATTCAAGGCCATTTCTACCATCTTGATAGCACCCCCACTAGAGTCTAAAACTCAGTCACCACTTCGTAAAGTACTTTTTAACCAAAAGCAATGCTTTGTGTCTAGGGAACCAGGCCAAGGCTGTTTTCTTGTCTCGGGAAGGAAAACTCACATCAGTATTGTAGAGACTTCTTAACCCTCTAACAGGCCAGGGACAGAGGGAAGCTCACACCAGCGTATAGAGACCTCTTCCCTCTAACAGGCCAGGGATGGGGGAAACTCACACCAGCATATATAGACCTCTTCCCTCTAACAGGCCAGGGACGGAGGGAAGCTCTCACCAGTGTATAGAGACCTCTTCCCTCTAACCAGCCATTGAGGGAAGTCCCAGAAGTCATCGTTGGCTCTCAGAGAGGGTCTGTCTGTACGTTTAGGAACTTCCCTCACCAAAGGCAGAACTTCTTGTAAATGCCCGATGCAGACAACTGGCTTGGGAAACATATCCTCCCCAGTCAGGATATTCAGGAAATCAGAATTTTTGAACACCCTACCTGTCAAGGAAATATATTTAAATCTGTCCTTTTAGAAATATTCAAGAGGAACTTTCTTTAAGAGAAATACTTTTAAGTCTCATAAGTTAAAATAATACAAGTTGATGTCTCATGTTTCCAGGCATTAAATGTATGCCAACGGTTCCTGCAGATATGCCCTACATTTCAATATGAGGTGTTCTCATGGGCGACGGGAGGTCTGGTCTTTTTTCTTTTTCAGAAAAATTAAGCTAGTTTCAGGTGAAAAAATTAAACTGTCTCAGGATTCAGCAGACCCTGTGGATTATGATTTAATTTGATACATTGCATTTGGTGCATGAAATCCCAGGCTACAGGATAAGCTCTTGGCTTTGGCCGATTGTGGGACCCAGCAGGCCAGGCAGCTGTCCCCACTGGGTTTCAGAGAGGGAGCCAGTAGCCTAGGATTTGCGACTTCCCAGATTCATTTCTGGGAATCTGCATTTTCTCTGCAATGTCAGCCATTACTGATCTCAGCCATCACCTGAGAGCATGTTATTGTCAGCTCTGTAAGCCTACGCAGATGGCTCACTGTCCATGTTTCTATTTTCCTGCAGAATTCATCTAAAGCTGCCCAAGCCCCATCTCCATGGGGAGCCGGTGGAAAGTAAGTTCATTTTTCCTTTTTTTCTTTTTTTTTCTTTTTTTCCATTCAGCATTTTGTTTTTTTTCTCATTCAGCATTTTATTTTTTTTAATTTCTTTATTGATTAAGTTATTACATATGTGAGTTCATTTTTCCAAAGTAAAGGTGATAAACGAGTTACTACCTGGTGTTGGGCAGTGTGCTACTTCCCTTACGGTACCCTGGGACTGGCCCGCCTCACCGGGAACCAGCCTCTCCACCTTGCTTTTCTTGCTCTTCCCTTCCAGGAGCACTGGAACCCCATCCCCCATGTCCCCCAACCCCTCCCCCACCAGCTCCGTGGGATCTCAGGGGAGCCTCTCCAATACCAGCGCCCTGTCCCCTTCGACCATCGTCAGCATCCCACAGCGCATCCACCAGATGGCAGCCAATCACGTCAGCATCACCAACAGCATTCTCCACAGCTACGACTACTGGGAGATGGCAGACAACCTGGCCAAGGAAAACCGAGGTGTGTGCCTTTGGGGTGTGTGTGCATGGCTCTACCACAGCTCAGGGAGACAACCTGACCTTGAGCGTCACCACACAAGTTGTCATCATTTACCGAAGAAGAAATCCTAGAAGCTGTCACCTACTGCGTGAAACTTCCCGACCTCTCCCCTCACTCGGGCCTTAACCCACCTTTATCTTCACTGTGGAAGATTCCACATCCTATATAATAAAAGGCTAATATGCAAATTGTCCCCTCGACCTGGAGTTTGACAGGGGGGGAGGGGGGCAGCCAGCCAACCACCCGCAGCCCCTCCCCCCAGCTGGCCCTGCCCCTGATCAGGGTCAGCCCTGATCAGGACAGGCCAGCCGGACCCCACCTGTGCACAAATTCATGCACCGGGCCTCTAGTAGAGATGATAAAGACACAAGTAATGTGCAAAGATACAGATCTGTAGATACAGATATAGATGTGCGCACACATGTTCTTTTCCCTGCTGATAGTGAGCTCCTTGAAGATAGACTCTGTTTCATCCAACTTTGTATTCCTAAGATCTGCACTGAGCCCAGAACACGGTTGAGGTCTGAAACATTGAATGAATGAATTAATGAGTGTGAATGTTACTGGCTTTTTAAGTGATAGCTGCTTACAACTGAAAAAAAAGTGTTTACATGAAGCAATAAGTTCCATTTCTTTTTAAATTTTTTTTTTACTGATTATAAACAGAGCGCATGTTTATTGTGGCTAAATTTATAAAGTACAGAAAACTGTTGTAGAGGGAAAAAAGATTTTTATATCATCAGTAATCGTACCACCAAGAAATAATTACTGTTAACATTCTACTGAAGTCTCTTCTAGTCTCCTCCAAATATGTGTGATTTTTACCAAAATAAGGTCATAGTATATCTACAGTGTTATGTCCTGTTTTGTTTTGTTGTTGTTTAATAGTATATCAGGAATTTTCTCATGTTACTAACTAGTTCAAAAACACCCTTTATGTTGGTTCTATAATATTGTCAGAACAGTGGTTATACAATCATAAAGTATGATTTCTTAGGCCATCCCCCTGTTGTTGGACATTTAGGTTATTTCCAATTTTTTCCACTATTACAAATAAGGTTATGATAAATAATTTTGCATAAGTCCTTTTCCATATTTTTTATTATTTTCATAGGAAGGAGTTACAGAAGTAGAATTTTGGGGTCAACAGGTATACATTCTTTTAAGATCTATATTGTTATACTAGAGGCCTGGTGCATGAATTCATGCATGGGTGGAGTCAGGCCACCCGCCCCGATGGGGGCTGATCAGGGTTGGGCCGGCAGGAGGGAGGGGCCCAGGGAGGATGGGAGGCAGATCAGGGCCCTGATCGGGCTGGTGGGCTGCCACAGTATGCTTCATAGTGACCGGTCGTTCCAGTCACTTGGCTTTTATATATATATAGATATCTTGGTATATATATTGTTAATTTTTCTCCCAAATGATTATACCAACTTACTACTCGGGTGAACGTGCAAATCCGAGGTCACTTCCCAGTCATTGAATGCACATTTGGTGCCATGACAGCGTAAAGCCTCTGAGGACAAGACCAGGCTGTCCACAATGTGACAAGGAAGTTACAGCATGGATAGGCAATGGGGCCTGAGCTCATGAAACTGATGAGAAAGCCAGGTAGCGCATGACGTGCAGCCCAGAGGTGCTGACCCTGAAAACCCACTGGGAAGCCGGTATGGAACAGGATTTTGAAAAGCAAATAGTAGTTGAGTAGCCGAGATGGAGTGGGAAGGGTGTCCCAAGTAGACAAAACAGAAGGACAAATGTATAAAAATGTGTGTGGCCAGTTTGGGACACCCTGAGCAGGCCAGCTCTTGCACTGGCAGCGGCCTACTCGACGGCTCCTCCGTGAGGGCCCAGGGGCACATGTCTAACGGGAAGTCAGTATTGTTTTTCTGACCAGCTCCCCTCCCGGTTCTGCTCCGGTCCCTGCGTGGCTACCTTCCCAGCCACCTGGACCCGGTGTCTCCCTCAGCCCTCCCTGGCCTCCCAGCAGGCCCTCGTTCAGCATGTATGCATATGGGCACCTCTGAAAATGTCTCCCAGGCACTTCTTTTGAAGGAGTGTTGCTCCGTGATCCAGTTACGACGATGGCATAGCAGCCCTGTGAATGTACTTGTCTCTCCCGGCCACTCAGCTGTGATCTCTTGGTACACTCCCTATCTACCCTGCTGCACCTAGCACAGGACCTTGGCACATAGTACATGTTTAATGAAAGGACCAGCCCAGAGAAAGTCCAAGGACTGGGAGCTGTTTCAGGACTGCCTCTGACTTGCTGCCTGGAGCCTGGAGCCTCCTCCATGGGACTCGTGTCAGTGCAGCACACGCCACAGCTGGGTCGAGGGGGAGGGCGACAGAGACACAGCCCACGTCCAGAGTGGGAAGTATTGCTGCTCCAGGAGAATGTCCTGAGGAAGTCAGGTTTTCTGCTGTTTGGCTAAGTCGAGGAGGGGTGGGGGGACATCCGGCCCTCGGGCCCTATAAGGCCGGCAAAATCATTTGGTCTGGCCCTGCCAAGGCATTAGGGGTGAGTTTATTAAACGCAGCAGGCTGATTTTTAAGTTGATAACTTTGTGTGGCCAGAGAATGATGGTATCAGTATCCAAATGGCCCTTGGCAGAAATGAGGTTCCCCACCCCTGGGCTAAGTAAATGTTATTCATTTGAATTAAAAATTGCCCATAGAGTGACTATGTGGATAAAAGTCTGAGTTCTGTACCTTTGTGTTTCCTTCTGTTCAGTGGGATGCTGAAGCCCATGATGGAACAGAGAAACTTGCTTATTTAGGGCCACGAGCGGAGTTTCTTCTTAAGTCACTTGGGTCCCAGGGTAGCACACGTAGCGTGTGTGGCACTCTAACCACTCTGTCTGTCCCCTAGAGTTCTTCAACGACCTGGATCTGCTCATGGGGCCGGTCACCCTGCACAGCAGCATGGAGCACCTGGTCCAGTACTCCCAGCAGGGCCTGCACTGGCTGCGGAACAGCGCCCACCTGCCGTAGGGACCGCGCCCTGCGGCCGCACTGTGCTCCCACCTCCGCGGACGGCTCAATGTTTCTGGACACTGTGCTACTGACATTCCCAGCCACAGCATTTATCAAAATCCAGTGAATATTTTCTCAGCCTCGAACAATGGTCTTTTCCCAGGGCATGTGTGCCTGTATGTGTGGGTGTACAAGCAGCAGCCTGTGTGTGTAAGATGCACAGCTCTTAAAACCTATTTTCTTTGTCTAGTTTCCATAATCCCAGGCTAGACAAAGTGATCAGAGGTTTCTGATTAGAGGAAATACACTTACACACACACACACACACACACACACACACACTTTCTACTTCAAAGCTAAACCATGACTTTTTAGAACATTCAACCAAAATCTCGCTGTGAGTTCACAGGTGCAGCACACGCAGCACACCAACAGCCTGACTGCCAGTGAAGACGACCTAGTCCTCACGTTGTTGATGACTTTCAGTGTTGATAGACGATCCCCACTTACCCTCTGGTTGTCCGTGTTCATGGGTAATTGAATAATGAAAGTCAGTCACGTTTTGCTGGATGTTTACTAGGTTGCATGTTACCAAATGCCCTGCCTTTCATTTACTACTCGCCCCCTCCATCCAACTTTATCATCAGCTAAATGCGTGGTGAGCAAATGGATCCACTGCCCTGCCCCCATCGTGGTCTGAACGTGGCGCAGATGTTCGGCGAGAACTCGGTGCTTTTGGAAGCGAGCCAGCCAGCGCTCAGGCAGCCACGGCTGCGTTTGGGAGCCCAGTCAGGAACTGGAACCTCCTGCACCTGCAACAAGCCCGCCCAGCACCGGTGTTTCTTCTTCCTGCCTCTGTGGCACGCGGCTGGGGAGCCTTGCGGCACTTCTCAGCCTTTTAAATGTGGCGATTTTTTAAGCCTTTTCTTTCCACGATAGCTTTCTTACAAACGTCTTGGCCAAATCAGGACGCTACCCCGATTGCCCCTTCACTGGGAGCCTGTGTGTGTTGCTTATCGGGCTGAGAGCCTCGTGCTCCTGATGGTGTCTGATGCTCTCACGCCTCCTGCAGAATGTGCCACGTTAATGCATTTTGAACGGGGGTACGTGTGGGGCTCTGGTTAGCTGGCTGCTTACTGCACAGGGTGCTGTTTGGGGTAGCGACCCCAGAACGTCACGCTCATGTCCTCTGTGTTTGGTATGTTTACGTCTCGCCCTTAACTCTTTTCTTTTTTTTATTAAGTTTACATTTTAATTTTTTGACACCTGTTTACAGTTTTTGTCTGAAACTTGTTTATTTTATAGTCCCCTGTCATGTCCTAGATTTAGTCTTCTTATTAAATATATTTGGATATAAAATTATTGCTTAAAAAGAAAAACTTCTGGGGGAAAAAAGGATGTACTTTGCCATATTTTAAAAACAAAAACAATGTCCCTGAGGCCTCTCACTTGACCATATTGCACCAGGCTGGTCTGAGAAAGACCTCGGTGCGGTTTACGGAGCTCCCCCACCCTTTCTCCAGGGGGCGGTGGCGCCCAGCATTTATAACAGATACTCGTGTGCTCTCACCAACGGTCAGTTGGTCCAGTTTCGATGTTGACATTGTCAGCCTGTTGGATAGTGGAAGTAAGATTGCTGTAATTCCCTAGCTCTCAGCACTCTTTCAAAACTGTACAAATGATTGATCTGTGCGCATGGTGACCCGAAATTAACTTAGAAAGAGCAAGTGAAGGGCTTATGAAATTGGCATTTGGCTTTGGCCTTCAAGCATCTGCACTGCTCACAGAGTTTGTTTTACTTTTATCCAGCCGAGGGGTTTGTCACACCCTCTCGCTAGTCCTTGTGGGTGGAGTTCATGATCCCATTCGTGTTGGGAATTTCAGTCTAACTTAAGAAATTGTGAACTGGTGTGTGGGGTGTTTTTGTTTGTTTGTTTGTTTGGAGGACTGAGGTTTAGTTCTGCTTGCTCTTGCTGAATTCCGCTGAAATGTTCAAACTCTCACATAAGGGGTGACCCTCAGGTGCATCCCCAGGTGCTCTGCTGGCCTCGTCCATCTTAAAGCTGCAGGCCTATGCGGTATCCACGTGGTGTGCTACCGTGAAGCCCCATCTACACACACAGGTGGCCTCTGGCGTTTTATCAGTGTTTTGAAGACCATGTTTCCCAACAAAACCTGTCGTGGTGGGGGTGGCCTTTCGTTTCATCGTGGAGCACGATGGGGCAGTGTGTGTTAGCTTGGAAGAGATGATTATGGTAAGGAGCCAACTTCTTCTTGTTGCGTGTGAAAGTCATTCATAACTGTTCCTTTTATTTAGTTTTGTTCAAAGTAGAAATATATTTCTTGCATTTTCTGATTATAAGAGCAATACATGCTTCAATGTAAAAATTCAGACAACATGGAAACGTAGAAAGTAGAAGTAGTAAGTCCCACCCCAATCTCCCCCCACCCCCAAGCAACCACTGTTCACAGCTTCATGTCTGTCCTTCTAGTGACTCTCCTGTTTCAACATGTACTGTCCATTATTATGTCTTTCTGTTTGGAGACATATTTCCTTAGCCGTTCAGCACAAGTCAACTGACCTATCCTTCCGTGTCCTGAACGGATGCCACCCTTTATCACAATGTAATCAAATGCATTCCTGATCAACATGTGGGATTTGTGACTGCTCTACACAGATCAGACTTATGTGCAGAGTTGTGCCTGGAAAGAGAGGTTTGGTTAAAACAGATATTTCTGGAAACTTTCCAATTACAAATGGAAACTCGGACCCACGATCTAATGAGGAATGTACTGGAAAAATAATCTGAAGAGCTGACAAATTGTGTACTAGATTGAACGCATAGAACGCAATGCAATGAGACTCCCTGCACTAAAACTTACCCCAGTGTGTGCAACACTGATGCGTGTATTATATAACAGTGATGTGTACATTTCTGAAATCCCATGCATACGATACACAGTTTGTATAAATGCATACATTTAAAAATATATATGTACAATACAGCTACCATGAGACTGTAGTACGCCTGAAGGGTATGACTAGTGCCTAACATTGAGTGTAAGTCACTGCGTGTTCGCATCACCTTGGAAGTACGGTAATTGTTATAAAATTAATCAGTGCAACCAACATTATTTATGAATCACATCTTTGAAACTGTGCAGTAGTATATACATATATATTTTTAAACAACATTTTTCACAGTTTTCCAGAGTTACTGTTGAAATCTGTATCACCAAAAAAAAAAAAAAAAGCAAGATTTTTTTAATGATGTAGACACTCTTCAGACCCAGTAATCTGTGTGTGATTTCCTGTTTGTAGATACCCAAGAGACTTTAGCAGTCACCAGCCTTAATGCATGTACAGGATATTATTGTGACTTAATTTATCTGCAGTTTTTAATCCATGTGAAATTGGAATTTATAAACTGACTTGGATTAAATATGTCTGCCTTTCTAAGGTTGCAAATGTTACATTAAATGATTTATGTTGTAAATGAGAGAAATTGAGTTGTACGTAAAAAACATCCACCAGTTTCTGTGACTATTTTTACAAGAAAACTTTAGACTCAGAATATGTTCAAGTAAGTTTTCCGGTCCCCAGATCATAATCTCTTTAGAAGTGACCTTGTTTTGTGAGTTTGTTTTTTGTTTTTGTTTTTTCAGAGAGGAAGGGAGAGAGAAACATCAGTGAGGGGAGAGAATCATTGATTGGCTGCCTCCTGCACACTCCCTACTGGGCATGGAGCCCACAACCCGGCCATGTACCCCTGACTGGAATCGAACCTGGGACCCTTCAGTCTGCAGGCCAACGCTCTATGCACTGAGCCAAACCGGCTAGGGCTCCTGAGGTTTTTTTAACAGCTCCCACAGGTTATCAATACTCAGTCTAATATTTTTCATGAGGAAAAAAAGGTATGTTTTTCTTCATTACACCTGCACGTTGCTACGTGTCTTTCCCAGCCCACACACAAGCCTGCACACAGATGGGGGAGAACACACCCACGTGTTTCAGGAAACGCTGATTAGGAATTGACTTTGATGACCGCATGGACACCTCCAGCCAGTGCCCAAGACGCTGTCCTACTCAACATCCCTTCATGACCAAGTTCATTCCCTGCCTTGTGTTCCAGGATTTTCCAGCTCAAACCAGCATGGTGAAATAATGTCCGCAATATCTGGTTGAGTAGAATAAAAGACCTTTGAATTAGCAAAGATGAAAATATTAGACCCGTGTCCTGCCATGGTCTGTCCCCCTGTGCAGGAGGCTTTTTTGTTCACCTCGTTTTTACTCTTCTCTCCCTCCTTTTTCAACCCCCTCTTCCCCAAACTAAACTAAACAAAGAGGCAGAAGCAGTAACAAACACACCCGGATGACTTCACCTCACCCAGCCCACATTCTTAGATTCCTGTACGCCTTGTCCTGAAGCAGAGCCCTCGCTCGGTCACCATGGAGACCGCCTCACTCCCACACCAGCCACGACGGGCACTGGGCTGTGCTTGCTCCAGGACCACCAACTTGCTACTCCCTCACACCCCACAGTCTTTCTAGAACTATCTCGTATGCGGTTTTGCCCGCTGCTCACCTAAAGCCTGTCCCTATGAGAATCCTATTTTTTAAAGTAACACCTTTTTATGAAACCTGAATCAACTGAAGTCTTGACTCTTTTCTCTAATGAAAGGAAAAAAGAAAAAACAACCACAGGACCTGCATTTCCAACTATTTGGAACCAGAGTTTTTTCTCGTTCTCAGTCTTTCAATATTACAACTTCCGGCCAAGCAGCACAAGGAATGTTCAGATGTGAGATTTGTGTTTTTTCTGTCCAAACTGAATTACCCTGCATTTGTCACCAGAGGGGCCCATTTGTTTCTTGGCATGAGGAAAACCATAAACCTGTTCTCCAACTAATTACACCGGACCACGGTTTTGGTTTGCATTATTTAATTGGCACTCTGAGGCAGCAGGGGTAAATGTTGGGTCGGTTGCAAGGGGTTTAAATCCACAGCTCTTACAGTAATGGGAGCCAGGGGAGTAAATCCCCATGTGTTTCTTTGAAAATCCTCTTACAGCCTGTTTCAAACACACTGATCTCAGGGATGAATTCAAGGTACTAATTACAAGTCAACACAAGAATTAGCATTTGTCTTTAAGCATCAAGAAGCAAGGATGAGCCCGGCCGGTGTAGCTCTGTGGTTGAGCATCGACCTGTGAACTAGAGGTCACAATTTGATTCCCGGTCAGGGCACATGCCCAGGTTGTGGGCTCGATTCCCAACGTGGGGTGTGTAGGAGGCGGCCGATCAATGATTCTCTCATCATTAATCTCTCTCTCTCTCTCTCTCTCTCTCTCTCACTCTCACTCTCTCTCCCCTCCCCCTCCCCGTTCACCTCTGAAATCAATATATATATATATGAAGAAGCAACAACGAGGCCCAAAAGCTGAATCAAGGACTCTCATAAGCTAACCTAGGAAAAGCTCATCAGAGAATATGTCTAGCCTATCATGATGTAAGATAAAAAAAAAATTAGTGTTTAGGGTTTTCACACAGTGCTGTTTGGTTACAAAAAATAATTACAATATTTTAGTTACCATATTGTTTTCCACCCTTGTTTAGTTTTCATTAGACAAAACTGATTTTCCCCCAAGAATGTATCATCTCTATTTCTGATTCCCAAATGAGCAAAGAGGAAGGACCTAGCCCGAGGAGCGTGCGTCGCCTGACCAACAGCGTCCTGCCGCAGCAGCCGAAGCTAGGTGGCTTTGTAGAGAATATGGAGACTGAGGTTGAGTCTCCTTCGTTTCCGTCACCCTCCGGCGGGACTGACCACAGAGCCTCAAGAATGGCCGTGTCGTCCAGATGTCCACAAGTCTGGGGATAGAACTCCCGCGAGTGATGGTCACTTTGTAGCATCGCCAGCTGTCTCTGCGGCCTGTCTGGTGAAATACCAATATTAACACTTGGAGTAAATTGCAAACTGATTAGTAATCCCCTGAGGTTCCCAAGGCTGCCAACTCAACCCCAAATGTCCTTCTCTGTGAGCTGGGTTGATTTTTGTGTGTCTTTGGGGTTTTTATTCCTTTTAAATTCTACTAGATTTAATATCTTGACTTTTTAAAAGAATAGTTATTAGTCCTGGCCGGTGTGGCTCGGTTGGTTGGGCGCCATCCTGTACAGGAAAAGGTTGCCCGTTCAATTCCCAGTCAGGGCATGTGCCCGGGTTGGGGGCTCAATCCCCAGTAGGGGCTGTGCAGGGGTGGGACATGCAGAAGGCAGCCAATCAATGTTTTGTTTTCCTAATGGTGTTTCTCTCTCTCTCTCTTCCTCTCTCTCTAAAAATCAAATTTTAAAATCCTTTAAAATAAAATAGAAGAACAGTTATTAGAGGCCGTGGGGCTTTAAGGAGACAAATATTCAACATTAGAACTTGTTGACGTTGGGGCCGAGAAGTCAGAAAAACAACTGGGCTGCCAAACACTGCCGTCCTCTGCCTGCTGCACCTGACCCTTGAAGGAAACTCCTTTCCACACCTCCCTTTCCTCTCTGTGAGGTGTAACTCAGACTTCCTCACCGAGAGAGCGAGGATCGCATTGTCACCCTCAGCAGGAGTCAAGCATCTGTCAGGACAGTGGCAGCAGGAACGCACTGCATCTGCAGGCACCAGTGTGCAGAGGTGTGTGATGGGAGCTGCGTCTCATCTCAGTCCTGACTCGGTTCTGGAGGCCCCAGGGGGTGACAGCAGGTAGTCACAGGCCCCTCATGGGACAAGAGGGTGACAGGGAGCTCCTCAGCCTTTGTTGTCACCACCTTGAGTCTATCCTGCCTGTAGGCAGAGATCTACTGAACCAGTGGGGGTCTGTCCTGGCCAGGAGCAGCAGAGCCGCCAAGAACGAGTGGTGCGATCTCATGTCCCCTTTCCCATCCAGGCCTGGCCTTCAGAAAGTGGGGCCTCCTGACGGAAGCGGAAGAAGGACCATGGGGTCCAGGCTTCCAGCGTGTGCATCTGCCGTGACAAAACAATGTGCCTATTGAACAGCGGGCCCCCTATCTCAGCCAGCAGCCTCCCCTCCTGCGCTCATTGTTTTGCTCTGGACGCTGGGAGGCTGAGTTCTTCTCGTGTGGGTCTTGAGCCTCTGATGGTGGTGGTGGGTGGTGGTGGTGATTGTTGTTGTTAGTGGTGGTGGTGTTTGGGGCCGGGGAGTGGAGGACAGCTGCTCTGGGGAGTGGTCCCTGAGAAAGAATTGTCATGAGGGATATGGGTACGTCATGGGCTTCAGGAAAGAGGAAACCTCTCTGGGGAAAATGGATGGATCTTTCTCTAGTGGATTAGGTGGTTGCCTCAACATGATCTCTTAATTATAGGTTAAACCTTAGTCTGTCCGAAGAGAGAGAAAAATCAACATAATAACTTAGTGATTTTTGCGATGCCCAATTAGAAACTAAACATTCTAGCCCCCAACATTGGGACAAAGACTGGAAATTTGACCAGTGATCTCAGTGTTTCATACCACTGAGGTCAAGGCCCTGAAAGGTAGATTGAAGTGTTTGGCTTTTATCTAATATTTATATTACTTAGACGCAGGGCTCCCCGTGTCCCTAAATCAGTGCTTTGAGGTTAACCAAAATAACCATGAAGTACTCTCAAAAGAAACCCTGCCTTCCATACTCACTGGCAATCCCTTTCCTAGCCTTTCTCAGTTCAAAAGAACAGCAGCTGAAGGTCCTGAGAGATCCGGCCCAATTTAAGCCCCAGTAGAATCTAACGCCCTTTCCACGGAAGCACAACACCTTAACCAGTGTGAATTCCCGCATTACGGTAAAAAGTTCCAGAGCAGCAATGCAAGGTGTATTAGCACAAGGAGGCCTAGATATGCTTTGGTTCAGTGGAATCCAGGTTAATGTCACTCCATGTCATCACAGCAGGAATTTAAACCCCAGTTTTTGCCCTGGCCGGTTTGGTTCAGTGGAGAGAGCATCAGCCTGCGGAATGACGGGTCCTGGGTTCGATTCCAGTCAAGAGTCAAGGGCACATGCCCGGGTTGTGGACTTGGTCCCCAGTAAGGAGCGTGCAGGAGGCAGTCAATCAATGATTCTTTCTCATCATTGATGTTTCTCTCTCCCTCTCCCTTCCTCTCTGAAATCAATAAAAATAAATAAAATAAATAAAACCCTAGTTTTCTCATGCTGTCACCTCGGATGTTTAGCCAAGGAATGGGCAGCTCTGAGTCAGTATTCCAGTATCAAACGCCCCGGGGATCACAGCAAACACCATTTCAAATTCTGCATCTCCAGCTTGGGTAAGTCGCCAGCAACCGGGGAACCTGCTCATCTCCCTCGAGACTTTTCCGATGATCAGATTTTAGCAGCCACCAAGTCACAGGCCTTCATCTTCTCCACTCTTACAAGAATTGGTCTCAGGATGGTTCCCAGCAGTGAAGGTTTTAAATGGGCCAATTCTGTACAGTAATTTATGCTCAAAAAAAAAGATACATATTGT